CTACATAACCTTATAGGTCAGCATCGAGTCGGGTAGATGCACTTTGCGAACGGCTCCCAAGCAAGAGCCGTCGGCAATGGTACCGATAATGGTGAAGAAGCCATCTTCGAAAGATCTACGCGCGAAAGCCTTTTCATCAAGTCAATTAGTGAATCTGACGAGATTTAGCATGCCCAGGTGAGAACCACATGAAGCGATGTTGCTGTAAATTGAAGTCGAATTCGAGCTGGTGAGATCTGGATGTAGTACAAAGCGAGGTGCCTAACTAAGTAATTATCCAACTCCCTCTGCAAAAGATGACTCCAGAACGAGAAAAATCGCTCCTGAAGGTGGGTAGGACAAGATCGCCAAGCCCACCCTAGACTGCAAAGAACCTTTATTTGTTAGAATCTGTCTTTCAATGTCGAAAAAAATTTCGACACCCTTGGGTACCTTCTAATCCACCTTTCGGGCTCATTATCCATAGACAAGGAGGGCAAGCGTTAGGCGACAAAACCTGCATAACGCAAACATCTTAAAGCCCGTAACTCATTTTCATGCATCACTTTTTCGATGGCGTCGAGTTATGAATTGGCCCAAATCCCTTGTTTTTACCACCGAAAACGTTTTGCAAGGTGGGTTTTTAGGGTCCAAAAAAAACCGGCTTCGTCACCAGACGCCCTCACTTCCCATAGAACACCTACAACGAGCGTAGCAACACCTGCAGTATCTGTTTTGCAGAGCAATTTTTTAGCTTTGCAGTTTACCTTTTGCTGCGGGGCTTGGGCATTTTACAAGGTAACGTCACCAAGTCGAATTAGCCGATTGGGATGTGGCGTATACTCAGACTGAGAGCTTCGGAGGTAAGTCTCAAACTGTGCTCATTAGCTGCGAAGCGCCTGTGATGTCATTCTGACAAGAAGCCTGATAGGCAAAATATAAGAATGTTTCTGCTTCGAAAAAATTTTCTAATGGATTACCATACATGCTCTCAATAATTGGCTATTTTGTAAGTCTGATATATGGAGTATTAAGGTGGTAGTACAGTGCAGTGGTGGTAAAGTACAAGTTAATGCAGAATAATCGACTGAAATTTTTGGAAGTCAGAAAATTTATTGTTGAACGTTCAATTTTTGAAATAGAAGTAAGTTGTAAATGTCGTTGATCGCTTCAATACATGAAACATGCGACATGGATTTGAGAGGAACGTAAGAAAAAATACGCCATAAAGGTTTGAAGTTCATTGAGTCCGGAATATAGAACATAATTTAGTTAGCCCATCTTTTGGTTCATCGATGCCTCCCCTAAATACCCTTTGATTCAACGGGATTGGGACTAGAAGGTGGGGCTTCGAGGCCCAATCGAGTTTAGGGAATGATCAGAGAGCACGCTCGCGAGAGAGACGCAGACTGCGTCGGGGGCGCGAGTGGTCCCAGCCACAAATCCCGTTGGATAAGGTTATGTATGCGCCGAAAATTCAGTCAACGCTTTAGCTGAAAACAGATTTGAGATCAACCCCCAAGCTCTCAATTTGAGTATATATCACGTTCAGTCGGCCACTTCTACTTGGGGCCCTCCCTTATCGGTTAGGTGAATCATGACCGCAACAAAATCTGATTAGATCGGATTTGGTGAGGTGAACGATACCTTCACTGAGATCTTCATCAATGTCTCACTATTTTAGTCTGGATATGAAGGGCTACTATGTATCCGGAGATTCCTTAACAGTTCCTTCTTCGATTGCTGCAACGCTTACCGACCATCAGCTGAAACAGAGTGCATCAATGGTTGATGCAACAGCGCAACCCTCTACAAGCGTGAGCTTCTTCCAGTCTTTCATGCAATTTGACTTTGCTAGAAGCAGCCCGTTTAGGCTACCAATGTTTCTTTGCAAAGGAAACGCGGATGTTTTTATTTGTCAGCAGCTCTAGCTTCGATGCCCACAGAGACAGTGGTTACTCCTCACCTTGCTGATTATCTTGAACAGGTACGTTGTATGACTGCTTTGTGGGTAAACTGATTTTTTGTGTAGGTAATTGAACCGTTACCGATTTCGTCTGGGGCCACGGTCACTTCCGTACAATCAGCAGACCCACAGGAAGGTGTAGCGCATATCGTCGGAATGGACACTAGCGCTCTCCCAATTGATGTTCTTGTTTTCCTGACGGTGCAAAGCAGTACGATCAGATTCGATGGACAGCAGCAGGTATGCAAAGCGATGTCTAACAAGGGAAGGAAGGTTGGTCAAAGTGGCCTCTTGAG